TGGGGCGGCGCTGGGGGCACTGCAAACCGTAGCAGGAGGATGCGGGAGCTCGGCTCAGCTGGAATTTAAGTGGAAAAAAATCCCTTTGTCATCTTTCTGCTGTATTTCAAAGCCTCCCCTCCCCCCCCGTTTTTAATTACATAGCGATAAGCATGTTGTAGATATTTTTACACGTTATACCCTTTTTAGGGTGCGTTTCCTATCAAAAACACTCCATTGGTAACTCAAGAACTATAGCTGATGCTAATGATATTTCAATATTTTTTTTTTTTAATATTGCTGTATCAGAATGACCCTATATGCTGCATTTTGATTAAAAGTCTACGTTTTTGCAGAGTAGCATTTTATTTTCCACAAGAGAATATTTCAAATTGCATGATGGGATTTTGAATTTTATTTAATTTAAAACCACGGCTTGCTGTTTGGGAGTTCAAAAATGCATTTTGAGATTTTCAAGGCGGTAACTCAGTTCCTGAGGCTTCTTACACATGCTTGAAATGCGTACATGAGGACAAAGTTTTTCCTCAGTGACGATTATGTCAGATATAATTGCTGGCTTTTCAGTATCCTATTAGCACCTGCAGTGTGCTAGGTGTTACTCCATTAAATTTTAAAATGTAAAATATGTCATGATGATGTTGTAGTTTGCCAAAGAAATGAGCTTACTGAATGTAAGAGATGAGCAGTAAACAAGTGATATATACTTTTCACATACATTTAAAAACAACAACCATATTCATTGTGGCTGATTGCTCATTACAGTAACTGTCATTGTGTAGTCTGTTAAATGTTGGTGCCAAAGGAAAACTGCTTTCTTGGGAAAGTGCAGTGAGGTTACAGAGAAATTAAGGAATGCCACAGTGTCAGCCATACTCACAGATTGACACCTTTGTCAATCTTATCTGGTGTTAGGGGTTTGTACTGTTGCCTCTCAGTCCTAATGTTTGTGTGGTTTTCAATGAATAACAGCAAGATTGCTAATAGGTGTTGTGAAGCCTGTGGCTTTTCTGATTCGTAGTTGGCAATGGAGTTTATATTTTTGCTCAGGGAGTAAAGAGAGATTTTGCTTTCAGTAATTATTAGGTTGATTAAGGGTTGAATATTCCAAGTTCCTGAACAAGCATCTCAAGTTTCTTAATTAATTATACATTTAAAGACCAATGTATATGTTACAGAATCCAATTGCATCTTTTATTCAGATTCTACCATTTTTTCAATACATGTAAGATTAAGAATGTGTTATGACTTATGAATTAATATAGTAACATCCATGATGGCTAAGGATTTTGTAATGTTTCTGAGTTTGAATCAAAATTCTCTATCTCTCTGAGATTGAGGCATATATTCATACTCTCTACATAAGGCTAGTAATGATTTTTTGAATATGAATGCTCATTTTCTCACTGTAAACCAATTTGATTGATGTATTGCTTTCCTTAAAGTGATGCATATCTTTATTTAATTTGATCAGTATTAATAGGGAAAGTTACACATAGACGTCAAAGCCCATGTATATATCGCAATACCCTCACCAAAATATATTTGTGGTTTAGCTGCTTGGGAAACTTACCACTTTAAACTTAAAATGTTGGCTGTCACGATATATCGTATTAAGCTAAAGGACATGGAGTATTTAAAGATTGCTAGATTGGTATTAAGTCTTTTGTAGCTGTAAATTCTGGGAAAATTTGTTTCTCCTAATACAGAAAAACAGAGAAATCCAAGTCTCAGGGGAAACATTAATGCCCCACTTAAGCAGTGTTAGCCTTTCGTAAGCAGCAAATCTCATTTCTCTCTGGGGAGTCCCGCCTGGAACGTAAGATAACCTACACTTACCCTTGCTTTATTCAGTGACTCCATAAAACTCTACAGCTGTAGCTGACAGCAGAATATTTAAATGATTTGAACAGTGTAAATGCCTCACGTTCATTTAAATAACTGAAGAATTCAATCACTTGAATGCCAATGATTATTCCTATTGGAGTTTACATTTCAAAAAAGACAGCCCATCTGAATCCCTGTGAGAGCATTAAATTGCTATCTAATTAGAAGTGCAAAATTACATATATTTAAAAGATAATTAAAGGTTTGAAGGCTGTTGAATAACTGGTTGCACATATAAATGAATCACTGAAAATTTGTTAGCAATATGTGAAGCTTTCTTTTATTCCTTGCTTTCGGCTTTGAAGTTAGGTATAACCGAGCTCATGGGTTTAAGTCTGGTAGTATTAAGATAAAGGCAGATGTTTTTAATTATTTCTACTCAAACCCCAAATAATTATAAGCAGCTGCCAGTTTTACATAATCCCAAATGATAAGGTCCGGAGAATGCAAATAAAATCCTAAATAGAGGGGTTGTTTTTTTCAGAGGAGTAAATCACATACATGTTGCATTGCTAATCAACTGCAATCCACCTGAAAATGTGAGCTCAGCCAGTGTACTCTGTCTAGTCTGTAGGTGCGTGACTTAAAGCTGGTTTTTTAGTTGCTTTTACCTCACCCTGTGTATTTCCATATTTTGTTTCATCAATTTAAACATTACTACAGCATTTTTAATGCAAATGCATATGTTATGAGTGTAAATAGAGTAATTTAAATACATGTGGCTTGAGAATCATTTTCTTCTATTACTTTGCTAGAGTGTTCTTCTGGGCACATGGTACATCTAATTTTTCCTACTTTTTCTCTGTCTGGAAACCTAAGATTGCATTATTCTCTTTTCCGTAACGAATGACATGGCTCCTGTTGTCAGCTTTTCTCTGCAGTATTTCTGCAAATTTTGTACTGTGGCAGTTTTCACTGCCATCTGGCATGAAAGATCGGTCCAAAATAACTGTTTTCTACGGCCAACCATAACCTAGGAACTTCTGGATCAACATCTTAAATAATAAGCTTGTCATGAAAATCTCTCTTTGGAAAGGGAAGCTATTCTTCCTATTTTCCTGAGAAAATAAAGATGTTACCTTTTTTTAATAATAAAATAAGTAGCTTTGTATAGAAAGCAACTTTGGTTTTGACTGGACACCTATGAGTGTTCTACAAATTCAAGATTAAGTGCAGATCAATAAAAGATTATTTGAGGCTGCACATCATGAAACAAAAGTATCACAAAAGACAAATCAGGATTATCTTTCAGGAAGAAAAATCCAAATGAAATAAAGAGCTTAAAAGCCAAGCAGTAGTGATTTCCATTGAGATAGGATGCTGCTTCACATGTATCCCCAGGCAGAATATTTCGGAGCTATGTAGTGCATGGTGAATGAAAGCTCAGTCACTGCAGGTGATGTTATATAAACAGGTGAAGCAGTGAAAGGAATTTTTAACTTTTTTTTTTTTTTAATGTTAGAGTATGAATCAGTCTATTGAAGTGATCTCTTCCCCTGACTTCTCATGACCTTCCACTATATTTCCCATGATCTTGTCTTTAGCCCGTAGTATTTAAGCATTTTATTATAGAAGTATTATTTTATTAAAGGACTAACGTTTGAGGGACTTAATCTATATTCAAAGGAATTTGCAATTTGAAATTACTACAATCCTTATTGAAAAGTAGGAAGTGCGTGCCCCCATCCCCTTCCTTTCTATGCACGTAGAGCATCGTGGCTCTTTTTGGAGAAGTGCCTCACTCGGGGATGTGTCCCCCTTTGGCGCCAGGAAAGGAAGCAGCAACGTACTCCTGCCGTATTCTATGCAAAGAGCAAAGAAGAATGTGTGAAGGACTAGTGACAGAAACAGATGATTCTGCTCCTAAAGTTAGTGTAAACCGAGCTTTCCCCTTGAACAGTCACCTCAATAAAGAATGGTGTGACTCAGTAGGAATTTATGCTGGGATGGGTTTCTGGTAAAGGTCCCAGTATTGGACGTTTTATTGACCATGTAAAGTCAGGTTCAATGCAGTTTCCATTCAAAGAGCAACAGTCTGTGCGTTATGTCAATCAGAGCTACACTAGACCATAATAAGTGGTAACACTAGTGTCTAGAATCTTAAAGCAGGGAGGTAGCTGATAACTGGCTAGACCAGGGAATTGCAATGACAGTGTGTTCAGTCTGTGTCTGTTTATTTAAAACTGTATGGAAAAGTGTGGGGGTTTAGTTAATGATGCTTTTCCTCTGGTATTTGTTCATTCAACCTTCCCTATCAAACTTTGTAGACAAGCATACCTTAACAGGATGGCTTTATGTGAGTTACAATTATACATGCAATCGTGTTGTGTATTCAATTATGTAAAATTCAAGCTTAGCAGAACATATTTGCATATGTTCAAGTTTGTCTCCTCTAAACAAAAAAAATTGGGATCATTCTCAAATCCTGTTTAGATTAATACGTTATCCTAATTTTGAAGAACTAATCCAAAAAAGTGAAACTTGATTGATGCTCCATTTTAAAATTGGAGGAGTATTTTTAGTTCCCCAATTCCTTACTTTTGTACATAGGATAGTAGTTTGGCAAGGAATAGCTTTCCCTTGAAATTATTTTACCTCTCTAGCTTTTGGTTGTTGTTTAGTAGATGCTTTCTTGCTATGACATTTTCTCACAGATGATTCCCTAAGAGTGGCTAAGCAAGTTCCATAAATTCATTGACTCTTCCAAGGCTGCTATCGCAGCAACTTACGCTCTCCTACCTCCCCGTTATCCAGATGGAGCACGTTTAAGAAATTCCAATCACCTTAGACCTAAGGCTTGCAGCTGTTAAGATGTAGCTTGCTCCCTCTGTGATCAGATTGCTACACTCTGACTTTATAAACACGTGGCAGGTCATATTCAATGCAGCTGGTTTGGGACTGCTCGTGTTAAAAAAAATAAATAAATAAAATATCAAAGCAAAGGCTTTAATAATGGCACATGTAAATGGTTGTATTGGGGGTGGTGAAAAAACGTGATTCAGTCTGTAGACAGTACACGTCACGTTGTTTGAATCATCCAGTGCTATAAGAATTTGGCAAGCCTCAAATAAAAGATACTGAGTAAGATAAAGCTCATTCTGACTACCAAACAAAATAATTTCCCGTTTTCTTTCCACAAGCAAAAATACGTTGAAGCTATCATGTAGTTTTGAGCAGACTAAAAGATTCTGGTATTGCAGTCCAGATATTTAAAAATTTTTAGTTGTTTCCCCTCCCCCCTCCCCCCCAAGGATTAACTACTATATAATATCACCACACGTTTTATGCTGACCAAAGTAGATTAACAACACACAATTTAATTCTAGCTTTTCCTCATGCACTTAAATCAGAGTAATTTGGTAGAGCTCCTAGTTTCTAGCTTTCCCAGTGGGTCCCTTAACAACTTGTTTCAATGCTGTATAGTAATCTTGCAGATGGGTTTGGCTTTAGCCTTCAATCAGTATTTTACAGTTCACCCTGGAGTCTCAGAGATAGAAAGCTAAATTAGGTTTGCTACCAGAAAAAAAGGTATAGATATCATTTTTAGAAGCTAGTGAATTGCTTCCATGTCCATGAATAGTTTTTACTAAGAAATCAGTTAAGCAATAAAACTAGAAAGAAGCCAGAGAAGAATGGCCAATTGAACAGTAGTGTTATGAAGTATTTTATATTTGATCTACTTGCATTTATGTTTTTGGCCCTAGTTACATAAGCATAAAGATATGTAAATTTACTGCTGGGAATAAGGTAATATCTTCATGAAAGAATCCTCAAGTAAGGATTTGCACATGTGCCTGAGAATGCAGTATAGCCCAGAAGCTCTTCAACATCTGTGAGTAAAGATGTAATTAAACATTGGAACCAGTACAGGAGCTGTTTGCTCTACTCAGATGAACCCAGCTAACTTCTATGTAACACTTTTCAGCTCTCAGTATTTCAGAGCTTGACTGTAACTATTTCTGTACTAGAATGACTAAATCAGATCAAAGATTTGCTTAGTTAGTTGGTGCAGCCACAGAGAGTAGAGATAGTTACTACTTGTAAAGATTAAAGATAATATTGATAGAGCTGCAGTCATAATGGAAGGCTCGCAAAACACAGCTACAGAAATCAAGCCCTGCTAATGAACTGGACGTTATCCTCTCATATTTTATTCTTGGGAGATTTAACCATATTGGCTGCAAATTTTGTACTTCAGTATTTGGGTATAGTTATCTGTTTGGCTATCAGAGCTATCATATAGCAAGAATTAATTGTAGCACGGAGCTGCTTAAATTCACAGTCTAGTGTATAAGCATGTTCTGAAAGCAGAAATTCTTTACATCTCTCTAACCATCTGTTGAATAGCATTAGCCCAGAAATAGATAACCTTGTTGTTACAAGAATGGTGGTTTCTAGCAGAGAGGCAAGAAAACCACATGAAAGTACTCTTCAATTGCATCTGCAGGAATTCTCAGAACTTAGTCGAAGACTTACACCAACAGAGTTGCTAGGAGTTTTTGTTATTCAAAAGAAGAATGAGAATCGACTCAGGATTTTATCCCACATAGTTTCTCAAAAAAATCATGTGTAGAAATAATTGAAGCATCCAAGTTATTATGAGCAAAAATTAAGGAGGCTCAGTGAAACCTGTGCTAGAAGAAACTTTACAGCGGTACCAATATCTCAAAATCTCTTTGTGATTATGATCCAGTGTCAATATTTTTAAAAGCTTGTTGTTCTTCATGAAGATTTTGTCATGCCTATTTTTATATACACTGGTCTACAAAAGCAACTGTGGGATTCACATGAGAATCTTTTAATTTAAAGAGGAAAAAGTCAGAATGGAAATAACTGTCTTAATGTCTCCTGTCGTACTTCATAGGAAGACTTGTGGCTTTCCCTCCCACTTATATACATCATAAAAGATAAAGACCAGATTTCACATTGCACTGATCCTCTCCCAGACTGTGTTTTTTTCAAATATATTCTCATAATTTTTCTTAACCTGTTAGTGCTTTATTCACTGATCTTCTTCCAGAATAAGGTTTTTGTTCTTACACTAGTAGGCTCTCTGATTTTGAATGTTCAGCAGAGGGCAGAATTTCCTACTGTATAAACACATCAGTGTCAAATGAATTTGTCACTAGAATGTTTATTTTAAATGTGCGATTTACAGTGTAACAGTGACTAGTGATAAAACCCTATAAATTATCATTATGAATATACTACTTTTCCCCCCTTGAAGTTGTAGATAAAATGTAGTATCAGCAAATGTTAACACCATACTTCCCACGACTTGCATCTTATCTTGTTTAAAGAGAAATGGGTAAACATTTTGTTGATAAGATTATAGTAAATATAACTTCCTGTACAGCTGAAAGAGCTAGTTTGAGACATTTAACATGAACTACAAGCTCAAGGTTCCATGTATTTTCCATATGGAGAGAAGGCGGCACAACTGCTGAGTTTGACTTCCCAGTGTGTCCATCAAGAAAAGCTTAGTGTCGTGGCGAGAGATCATGCAAATAATCGTGTGTGATGTAGGTTTTTAGTTCACAGATAACATTTGTGCAGCAATGTGGTGCACTTTGTATGGATTAAGCTACCTACTGTTATGTGTATTGCATACAATCAGCATGCGTCCAGCACTTTAAAAAACCTTCTGATACAAAATCTTTGTGCAAATAAAACAGGACGTGCTAAATATTTCACCCTTTTTATGCCAGTATGAAGAGGGGAAGAAACGAAGAAAGCCCAACTACAGCAGTGTGGATCTTTCTGAGGTTGAGTGGGAAGACAGAGATGATGTGGTAAGTGGTGTGTTTTAAAACTGTCCAAAGACATTGTTGCATCCCACTACTGTACCTGGAAGCTGTTTTAAGTAGCCATTAGGCCACCTGACTGCTCTCAGGAAGGGAACGGCAATAGCCCCTTTTACTTCATTCAGAATTTTATAACTATTTTGTATTGATTCTCCCTTACATACGTATATACCACAAAGACAGATTCTTGGTATCTTTGTAAAACTCACCACCCTTCCATTCTCCATGCATCCCATTGTGTATTTTTGCTGGATAGCAAATATAGTTCTGGAGAAGGGAATATAATCTCTCTTAAGGGCTGGCCCAGACAACTGTTGAAACTCAGAAATGAAGGAATGAGTTTAACTTCTTTCCATGAGATCCCTCTTTCCTTAATGGAAGTAACGAGAGCTGTTTTCCTTAACGTACAAATCAAAAAACATCAGACAAATAAACAAAATTGGATTCTTTGACCTCTGTTCGGAGCACAGATTCACTCCAAACTCCTAATTTCAGACATATGGGTAGCTGCAGAAGTATGCGTTCTGTATCTATCAGCTGTTACGCACACAATCCTTCCCATTAAACTCGTTTTTCAGTACTCCATCTACTCTGTACTTCACTCTTTAAGTTATTCTTTCTTACCTCGCAGGCTCAGCCTTTTCTGCAGTACTGTATCAAAAGCTTTCCTTATGTCCATGGCTTAACCTTTGCCTGGTCTTCCTGTTACTTCCTCAATAAATCTGATTTGTTAGGCATGAGTCGTTTTGTGTGAATCTGTGCTGACTGTCCTTAATTAAATCGTAACTTTCCAGGTGTTCCCCTTGCTATCCTGTAATTTAGTTTTTCCCATAAGTTCCCTGCTGCCAAAGTCACGACTGCATGTCTGTATTTTTCATAGATGTCTCCTCGATCCCTTCTCAAATGTCAGTGCTGTGTTAGCTTCTCTCAAGTCCCTCATACCTCTGCTGTTGCAGAGAGGTTTTGAATATATCCATGGAAGGTTCCCATATTTACTTTGTCATGTCCTTTCGAAATCTGGGATGGATCACGTACATTTGCCCCTAGAGTCTTGTCAGTCTTCAGATGTACTAATTTCTTGATCCCTGTTCTGACGTAAGTCTATATTTTCCTTCTCCCTTACAAAATATATATCTTGCATTCCTCCCTCTCTCCACCCCCTTTGTGAATAGTGGAACAGTTCATTTATGTTTTAAGCAGTGTCTGTTTCATCAGGTGATAGATTGTCCTCATCCTCTCCTTGGAGGCCATCTTACTTCCTTATATAAAGTTTTGTGTTGGAGTGCACACTGAAACTTTTAAAAATATTTCTTGTATAGCTTTGTGCAGTTTTGTGTGCATATGCTATTTAAGGGTTCCTAATTAGATTTTCATATACCGTAGCAGCCTTCTGCAATCTTGGCAATCACATTGACTTCATATTTTGTACCTTGCCTTTTCTCTTATCTTTGATCATGTATTACTCAACCTGTTCCTCTGAAAATGACCTTTTAAAATCTCCTCTCTCCTTTCAAATGTTATTGCTGTAATTAAATACAGCTTTTAAACCTTCATGATTTTTTTTATTATTATTTTTTCGCTTTGGTTTGTCTTTTCTTTTCCCATTTTATTTCTTCTAATACTTTCTCTGCTTAATTTTTATGGTTCTAATCCCTCATTTTTAATCAATCTTAGTAGAAATTCATTGGTTCAGTTAATGTAACATTGAACTATTTCTATGACATTGCAAATTAAGTTTTATTTATAATTGAGATTCTATCTGAATATATATGAAAGCAAAAAGTCCAAATTCATCTCTTTGTGAGTATTTCCTTTGTTTGAGACCCCTAAGCTCTGTCACCTTTTCTCAAAATTTCTAGCAAAAATCGGTTTTTTTCTATGTATAGGCTGCAAAAAGTTGCATTTGAAATTTTGATGAAAGATACATACGTACATTTTATCTGATTCTTTCCCTTTCACCTAAAAAAAAGTTTGTTTAAAAGTATTTTTTAATTATAACAGAGAAACAAGTGACCTTTTCAATATTTTCATCTTTTGAAGGAGAAAAGAAGTTAATCTACATTACAAATAGACTCAATTGAGCATTACCATTGTAGAAAAGATCCAGGCCCATTGCCCAATATGTAAAAGTAAAAAAATAGATAAATCGTAATTGAAATTAATTTTGGTAAGTATTTATACATAATAGAAAAACCCTAAATATTTTATTGTCGCTTTGGAGCAGCAGTAAACACAATTTTCAGTACTCACATATATTACAAGTGTGTTATAGTGACTTCCTTGAATGATGCCCATCTATTAATGCTAATAATTCACTAGTGCGTGCCTGAATAAGTAGGTGTTCTTTGATAAATAATCCTCCAATAGATAGGTATTTGTCTTGGTTTCAGCTGGGACAGAGTTAGTTCTTTTTAGCAGCTAGAAGAGCTCTGTGTTTTGGGTTTAATCTAGGTTTCATTATGAGAAGAACGCTGATAACTCACTGATGTTTATAGTTGGCACTGAGACCTCAAGGACTTTTCAGCTGCCATGTTCTTGCCAGTGTGCAGGAGCACAACAGGCTGGGGGGGAGCATAGGCGGGACAGGGGGTCCACAACTCCCCTTATGATTTGAACTTTAGATTTAGGATTGAGGGCCAAATTGACCAATGAAGTATTCCATATCATGCCGCGTCATGCCCAGTATAAAAATGAGGGTTGACTGGAAAGAAGGGCTTTTTTTCTTCCAGGGCTCTCACTCTTTGGACTCTGGAAGTGCTCTTTCTCTCGCTCTCTTTTCGGGCCTCTGGCTCATCTGGGGTTGCAGTGTCGGGACTTATCTGTTTCGGGATCATTAGTATGGGCCGGGCTGGGCTTTGGTAACCGGGTGGTGAGCAATTGCACGGTGCATCACTGTTTGCATATATTATTATCATTATACATATATATATGTATTTTCGTATATTATTAGTAGTAGATTGTTCTTGTTTCAACCTGCGGATCTCTTTCCTTTATTTCTCTTCCCCATCCCCTGAGGCTTGGAGGAGGATGAGCGAGCGGCTGTGTGACGTTTAGTTGCTGGCCAGCCTAAACCACGACAGTATTATAAAACAGCCTACACATCTACTGTTTGATGATTACCCACCAAGTGTTTTCTGAAAAAACAGCAGGCTAAATATTGTAGAAAAATGTATTAACATTCCAAATGTTGTCCTAATACTTCAGTAATGCCACGCACGAATGGAGACCTTCATGCAAGTATCTAAATAAGAAAAAATGCAATGTCAAACAAATAATATTTGTACAGCTATTTTTAAAAGTAAGTGGGGTATATCATTACAAGTTTTTTGTGTTTGTGTGAAATAATATGGAAATCATTTATACCATGTTACTGAGACCTTCAGAGGGGCTGGCAGTCAGAAATGCTAATAGAAGAATAAAAAAGGAGATATGAAATAAAGTAATATTGCATCTACAAGCCGTGTCATTATTAGCGTTAAAGCTAGAAAAAGAATGGAATTTGAAGGAAGTTCTGTAGATTATTGTAATGAAATCCATCTCTTTATGCAACTTTTTTGATGTGAGGATCCAAATACGTGTGAAAAAAAAGTGTGTTATTTTTGTTAATCTTTTGTAATAGACAATTCCTTAATATCGTTAATTTTGAATGAAAATGATGAATATTGTGTAGGAGAGTTAAAACTTTGTGAAGTAACTTATTGACTTGAGAGCTACATGTGGCTCTGCTTCACTCAAGGCCTTGGATTTGATGTTCTTGTTTTTTTCCAAGTTTGGGTAGTAAAGCATTGTTTATTCAACTGTAGAGGAAAAGAATTAATGTATTCATGTAGCTGCTTTTAATAACATAGACTACTACTGGTATATTTTTCTCCCATGAAACACTTATAAGGAAGCTGATTAAGATATTTTCTTACTTTTTACCACACTAATTTAATGGTTACATAGTTTTCCAAGAATATAGAATGATCTCATACTATAGCGGTGGAACTGGGTTGTTGGCAATTGTTTAGAAGATGTTTAGTTGAAGGAGTAATAATGCCTATTACTCTGAAGAGGTGAAGAAGTGAGTTTTCTCTAGTCATCCAATAAGGCAAAGGTGGCAGAATTAGGGTTAGAATTTTTTTCACGATGAAACAGAGTTGGTGTAATTATATATTAATCAGTTCATTTTCTAGGTTAATAATACCTGCTATCTTGCTGTTACTGCATTTTATTAGAAATAGAAATCTTAGCATCAGCTTATTAAACTGACAGTCTTCTTCCAGCAAAGTTTGGGAATACACAGTACCAAAGGCAAGAAGTTTCAATTTGGACAGAAACATTTTTCTCATTAACTCACTTTTTAAAATTCTTCTATTATAATTTCTAGCTGAATGAAATATTTTTTTTCAAAATAAAAAAGACCATGAATGAATGTTTTGGGGCTTGAAGCCAACTGAGGCAGTACTTATTTTATGCATTTGAGGAGGGCTCTTCTGCAGAAGAGCTGAGAAACCAGATTACAAAGCCAAGAAATGTAATCACAGCAAGCAAAAGAAAAAAAAGCAGAAAAGTAAAATTCGATATCCCACATGCAGACTTGATCTTAAACACTACTGAGGGTTTGGAGGCCCTTATAGTAAATCTACGACTTGCTTGAGGCTTGTGGGAGGAATGGGTCTTAGACAACTGCAGGCACGAATAGGAGGAAAATGAAAACCATGTTAAAGATAAATGGAACTGTTCTGTAAATGTTAGAAAGTAGATGGTTAATTAAGACCAGCTCTCCAAGTCCAAAACCACAAAACTTAAAATGGGAAAATATTTCCAGAATTGCCTATTATGCATTGTTAAAAAAATCTACACTAAAATATATACTTTATTTTATACATGCCTCCAGCTAAAAATTATTCTTTTACACTCACTGACAGAAGAGTAAGACTGTTAATTTAAATCTAGATGCCCCAGAATTAAATTTAAAGAGCTGCAAAGTTTGCTCTTTTTTTGATAGGTCAGCTATGCTTGACTTGTTCATTGAAATAAAACCAGATATTGCACTGGCAGGTTTGGTCATTCTCTTTTCACTTCTTACTAACTCAAGAAGCCTGCATGAATATGACTGTCTTCTCAATTTTTCATTAAAATCTAACTGAATTGCCCAATCTGGCGTAAGGTACTACAGAACAGAAGATATTTATTCAGCAAGAACATGACATCCAAAATTGTGTTCAGATAGATAAGCAGTAGGAGAGACATAAGACTGCTAGTTTTGTCAATAGTATTCTGCATTTTGAATATGCCTGAAGAGGGAGTGCACATTGATTAGCGATAGTGGATTTTCCTATTGAATGAAAATTAAAACTAGGAAAGATTTATGGGTGCTTCTCACTGCAAAAAAAATCCCACAAGTATAGCAATTTCGCTTTGTAATTGAAAATATCCTGAAACAACCACCTTTCTGCATCTGTTCTGTTAATTAAAAACATAAGCAAAAGAAGTCACTTCTTCCGTTCTTGAATCTAGAAGCATTCAAATAAAATGCTTCCATATATGGATGGTATAACTCCTAAACAGTAACTTTCTTATTTCTTCCCTAAAGTTCTGAACAGATAAATAGGCAAATTCAGAACACTAAGGCTGAGGATTTCTTAAAAAATGTGTCTTGTCATTCTTCAGTTTCAGCCCAGAGACTTTGCTCTCAAACCAGCTGTGTTAGGGTAGTGTGTACTCATTGGTAGGGATGCCGCAGGTCATTTTGGCTTATAGACCTTGTGGACAGTTGTTGGTTTTTTTACTCTTCATCAGCATGGCATGTTCACCTAAGAGAGCTGCTGTGTCAACTGGTGTCCTCTGGGAGAAGGCTATTCTTTCCTAGGGAGCAAAGAGGTGCGCTAAGGGAAGACTTTTTAGAGGTGATGGGTAAGGGACTTTGCAGCACAGATTTGGGAGCCTGCAGCTCATGTAGAGGCTAGAATAAAAGTACTGAAAAACACTGTTTGTGGTAATCTAAAAAGTAACAGATTTAACTTGCAGAGCAGCAGGTAGATCATTGCATATAAACCCTTTTTCATTTATTTTCTGTTTTCCCTAGCTGCTATGAGTTTTCGGTTTATATAGTAATGAAACCTGGTTTTGAAGGGGATTTAAAAAGGTTTTGAAAGGGATTTAAAAGAGTGACTTTGAGAAGGAGAGTTCCAGGCCAAATCTTAAAGCTATAACTGACCTAGGGCTTCCATTACAGAGATAAAATTCATTACGTTGCAAGGGGTGCCCGGACACCCATGGACAACCAGAGGAAATCACAGAGCACTGCAGCTGTGTGTTCTCATTGGAACAGGTTGCTGATCAAATGGACTGTCATTCTTTTGCTAGATCTGATTTCTGATGCAGTTAGGATGCAGTTTCTGGTGCTAGTTTAGGATGCAGCCCAATGTAAAGTGTCAAGCAGTAGCAGAATGAATAGTAGGGTAAGTGGAGTTTTCTCTTTTTTGATTTGTTGTTATATGTGTAATTGTTGATGTGTTTAAATACTGAGCCCTGGTCTATCTTCAGCTAAATCTGGCTGGGAACTTATTTAGTCCTTATCTTCCTTTGCAGTAACTGAAAAATGGTAATCACAATGTTTATCCTACATAAGATCCAGATTACTACACAAAGAGCTATTTCACTATAGAGGATGATGAGAGGTCCTATTTTATGTACCTCAGCAACTTGCCTGAATTTGTGCAACAGGAGTCTTGGCCTATACAGTCAACAGTAAAATCTGTGAGGGCGTTGTATAGTGTGTACTAGAACTACTGAAAATGAAGAAATTAAGAAAATTCAGTACTGCTTAGACCAAAGAAGTATACCAGAGAGCTCAGAGTTGAAAGAATTACAGAAAATGCAAACAAAGAAATTGACACACATTTCTTCATTTCAGCTCCGAAATGCAATGGTGAATCGGAAAACAGGGAAATTCTCCATGGAAGTGAAGAAGACAGTGGACAAAGGGGTACAATGTATAAAATATTATTCCAACTAAGTATAAAGCAAGCAGTTAATTTTAATTTTTTTTTTTAAGATTACCGTAAAGATGATTAACTGCAGGTTTTTTTTTTCCACTCACTGAACTTAAACATTGCTTGTAATTTTATCAGTGACTAACCACTTGATCTTTTGTACATTTGTTATAGCTTACTAACTTCTTCCCCCCTCCTCTTCTGACTTTCTTGTTCTGAATCTAGAAGCGGGTTTTGGTGATGACAAATGACTACTATTATACAGACATCAAGGGTACTCCATTCAGGTAGAGCCGACCATAATAAATGGACTTTTCATCAGAATCATTGGACTTGCATTTGTACAGAGCTTGTGAACTCATTAAAAGCTCATCAGCAAAAGTTGACAATGAAATATCCCTGGACAATGCTGAAAATAGCAAGGAAAAGGAGCCTACCAGCATTCCTTTCAGCTTTTCCAGGGATGGAAAGTTTGTGCAAGCTCACACAGGCAAACTCAGTGTTTGTCATGGCTTACGTTTCATTAAAAAAATATTCAGTTGAGGTTTACATTGAACGAAAGGCTTTTGCAAGTACTTGGAGAGCTATAAATACTATAATCCATTTAAGCAACTACATATTGAGCCCCATTTTGATTTTTTTTCCACAACAAAAATGTAATGTAAAATGAGATAATATTTCACTCCCAATTTGAGGTTTGGATATTTTGTTTCTCTGAACTACCTTCAGTGTATTTGTGTAACTAAAACTGAGTAAGTCAGCCGTGTTATTTTGGCATACATTTTAGGAGGAAAAAAAAAAAAAGAAAACAAAGACAGGAAGTCACTTTAAAAATGCCCATATTTGAATTAGAAATAATCCATTAATAAAAGAATTCTAACTGTATCTTATGTTTAAAGCAGATGGCTGACAGTTGCAATACTCAACTGAAATTTTCTTCAATGGAACCATTTCACAGAACTTGAGCTGTATTTCCACATAGAGAAAATATAGGCACATTTCTCTGATCTCTAATGCATGTGTGTATTCTAGTTAAAATTCACACATGGATAGAAAACTCAGTGGGGTTTTTTTTGCTTGTTTTGGCTAGTTTTTTGTTGTGTTTTTTAATTTTGTGAGGGTTTTTGTTGTTTGATTTTGTTGTATGTTTTTTTTCCTGTGACACCATCATTCGTATCCTGTTTAGTAAACGGATATGAAGCTACATATATACAAGCAGTGTGAGTTCTGATTCTCAGGGCAGAGTTATAGTTGGAAAATGGTCCTACCTTTTTCAGCATGGTCTGTATCTAGTTTTGATGGGTAGGAGTATAGATCCAGGAAGACAGCAAGGGCAACATTTATCAAAATATAAACTGTAGTGTTCAGCGCGTTTCCAGATTGAGTCGTTGATTGCAGTAGGTACATTCTTGGAGTTGGCGCCTCTGCATGTACTGAAAGTATCAGTCCATGCAGTTTCAGCCTTACTGATTCCCGGCAGGTTCCTAGCCTGATATAATCCTCTTGAATGACTGAATGCCAGAAGGTATTCTGTGTCTAATGAGAAGAGACATAGGATCCCCCAGCCAATTCATTAAACTTGAATAGCTTAAATGGTAGACTAAAAACTAACCCAAAACTAGGTGCATAATTCTTGAGAGTTTGTGAAGCTGAAGTCAAGGTGAAAAAGTTAAACTAGCTGAAAATACAAATCAGAAAAATGAGTCCAGGAGGAGTCATGATGCTGTTGTCGCATATGAAATTCTTTCCTCTCAGTAGCTCCATTGATTCCCACGCTTATGTCGTTTCTCAACAGCTTAGTCTGATTTATGAAAAATTGTCTCCATTGTACGGCCACGGGCATGTTCAAGGCTCAGCTGAAGAAATCTCATGCTGGGTGAACAGCAGTGAGCTTAGAGGGACTTGTTTATTAGTTTGCCAGAGAATAATGGTTTACTGCACCTCTAAGCACACATAAATAGAGCTGATTGTTGCAGGCACATCAGAACTGAAACAGCATTGAAGCAGCTAGTTGAACAATAAATATGATCAGTGAAGTTTTGGAAACAAACAACTTTAAAGGTAATCGTAGTACATTAGCTGGAAATGTTAGAAATTAAAATAGTTCTGAATATCTGTTATTGTTTGTCTCACAGACTTCAAGGTCTGCTTTATTTCTTTGCACAGTTTAGGTGTGGCTCTCTCTAGAGGACATGGAAAATATTTCTTCAGAGGGAATGTAACCGTAGAAGAAGGTAAGATACCTTCCTTCTCATGTTACTTATACAGTAGTTTTATTGTTGATTTGGTAGACCTAAAGCTTGTATGTTTGTCTGTAGATTCCATAAGAGAATTAGACTTTTTTTTTTCTTTAGAAATCTTCTACTTCATGGGATTTTTTTCCCTCATTTCTATTTAGCGTAGTCAGACTGTTTGTGAATCGTCTTTAGATGGGCATTGTCTTCCGTCCTCTCTCAGTGCTCCAGAGAATCACTCAGGATCCAATTTTAATTATTTTTTTGTGTTTTGTGAATGAAATGACCACTAAGAGCACTGGATATGGCTTTTTTGTTCACAGAGTATACATCATGAAGTCTTACAGAGCTGTAACTACTTTGGGCACTATCTACAGAGATTTACATTTTGCATTTTTATAATAACAGCAGAAGCAACTGAGGGAAAAACTATTCTTTCTTTATGGTTTTACTTTTTGATAAGTCCACAATTAAAATGAGTGGAGGAGTCAACTGTGAGTGGTGATGAAGTTGTTTGGCAAAAAGATCAAAACCAAAGATTCCGGAAGATGAAGGAACAGCAGAGACATTTCAGCAGAGCAAAGAGAGGATTGAGAAGTTTTAGCAGTTGCTGAGCAAAAGATGTTTCAGTAGCGGAATGCTTCCTGATTTTATGCTAAAGTCTCCACTTTCAGTTCTGCTGCTTGTTTTGTCAGTGATGTTAAGCAAGATAGTTAATTTCTTCAGGTCTTTATTCCTCACCTGTATTTTGGGACATTAGTACATTCTTTTTCCCAGGAGAGATGTAAAAAGAAATACTTTAAAGTTTGAGTCACTTGCACAGAAAATACATGTCTTGATAGAACAAGTGGACAGCAGGAGACATGGAGCTGCTTGCTCTCCAAACTGTTCCCAACGTACCTCTCACCTGTTTTTTTTTAATCCAGCCATACATCTCAGCCAGTCTGTCTGATATCTTCTCCCAGATACATCACTAGAAATGTTAACACAGCCATAACTGTTCCCTTGCTCCCACTCTTACCTTCACTGACATCTCACTGTCCTCCCCAAGGACGGTAATTGTAGTTCTAGTTTTGACTTCTCTGCTTTCCTTAATCACTGTAGCTGTCATTGTTTGTTATGTACTTAGGGGTTTTAAACCCAGACCCTGCCTTCTGAACCCTGCTTGCTTATTGTCTATTGATAAGTGTTTTAAGAGATTTTAAAATTGCCAAAGTACATTTTTATTGTGCTGTATAACTAATGACATAGTTTTTATTTACAAGCATTTGAGGACCTATTAGCACAATAAACCTATTCTGAACGATCCAGTAAATTGCTGTTTGTGTTCATGGGCTGTGTGCTTAAGTTTTGAGGGAATTGTTCTTTTTAAAGAGGTTTGTTGGTTTATTTTGAAAAGAGAAAGAGAACAACTCTCATTGAATGAGAAGTATGTACTTTAGCATAAAGAACTTTACTAGCCAAATAGAAGGAGGTAGTACGAATAGGAGTCTTGTACCATTGTGTACTTCTCTTTGCTCAAGTTTTCTTCTGAACTTCAAATATATTATGTGAGCAATTTGTATGAGTTAAACATATCAGCACAGAAAAGGTTTTTCCTACCTTTTCAGTTTCAGGTCTGATTTAGTTGGCTTTTGCCAGCTTGTTAGACCCTAAAGTGTATTTGAACATCATTTACTGTAATTTATTACACTGTGGTAATAATGCACTTTCCAAGAAGGAAGAGTTTATGTGATGGAGTGTATGTAAATAACCATCTGTTACCCAGACTGCTCCCTAAATAACCCATTATTATTCCTGTTACAGGTTTACATGATTTAGAACACCCTGATGTATCTTTAGCAGATGAATGGTGAGCCTTAAACAAAGCATGAAATTGGTGTCTGTTACCCTTCTTGGTTTCCTATGGTTTGTGCTTGCAGAGCCCCATTCTTTATGTTCAAACACAAAGAGACATCATGCTTATACATACTAACATTTTGATGTTTTGATGACGTATTCACAGGTCCTATTGCAACACTGACTTACATCCTGAGCACCGTCTAATGACTCAGTTAGAAGCAATTAAACGCTACCTCACCGGAAAAGAGCCATTGCTCCAATGCAAGTATTTTGTTAAGTATGCATGTCATAGGCTTCATCTCAGCTGAAAACTGTTGTACTGAACCTTCTGCAAAATTCAAAGCTACTTAGTTTAAACAGCGATAAATTGAGATTGGATTGCTTGGTTGATGTCACTTTGGAATTGCATTTGGTGTTGAGCTTTCTCCAGGGTATCAATAAAGATATTGATGATACAAATTTCTGACTTTTATGGTAAGTAATATGCCTGAACCAAACATGCAAGTTTTTGTTCAGATGATGTAGCTCTATTATGCAATATTATTGCTCCATCTGGTTTTATAAGTTAAATAGGATTGGTCTGAATCAATCCTTGGATCACGCCTCTGAAGAATATGCCAGAAATTTCAGGAGTATTTGAGGGAGAATGTGTATGCAATTAGCATTTCTGAACTGCAAAGCAGAATAAAAAAAATTAGATGGGTAAGTGCATGTTTTGTCTATTTGCAGACATGTAGAGCTTTTGTGACTGTTAGTAGATCTAATTGTCTTAACCTTATGTCGTGCAAATGCGAGCATTAGATAACATGCACATGGGTGTGTTAGATGAAGTGGAGAATTATATTTTGTTTTTTAATCTAAAATTGTTGTTAGTGCAATTAAATGATATATGAAAACATGCATTGTGGTAATACCATGTAATATAACATAGTAAATGCTTAATAGTGCAAAAATTTTGAATGCAGATTACAGATAAAATGTAGTACAGTGTAAAAAAATAATTATTTGGTCGTCTAACAAAAATTACTGTATGCACATATGTTTACTCATTTTAATGTATTGTAATAGGTGATAAAGAATTGATCCAGGAAGTTCTGTTTGATGCAGTCGTGAGTGCACCAATTGAAGCTTATTGGACCAGTCTAGCATTAAATAAATCAGAGTAAGCAAGCTTTGTGTCAGTCATGGGTGAATTTTTAATAGTTATGTTGGTGAACTGGTGGAATACCTAACGAATCCTCATATGCACTAGTTGTAAGATTACCCAATTTTCACAATATAACTAATTAAATTGTATGCTAACTAGAACTTATGAACTAACAAATGGTTTAGAGTATTTGAGAAATTTAATGCAAAATTTACCAAAGTTGTTGATGGAATTGGTAATTTGTCTCAGAACAAATTATATATAGAAAAATTTACACTGGTAAAATAAATAATTTCTTTAATTCTTTTTTTTGTTGTTGTTTTTGTTTTGTTTGTTTTCTAGAACTAACAGGGATCTAGGTTCCTGTTATCGATAACCAGGAGATTAGCTGGTCCTTTTTAGAGTTTATAGTTACTTAATTCAATTATGTTATGATATGCTAAGGTGTTGAACAGCAAGATGTTTTATATATTAAACAGGTGTTAAGATTAGCAGCTTGCAAGAAACACTGTGGTTGAAGGACAGTTCTGGAGATTATCCTGATTAGATTTTGCTGAATTGGAACCATTTGTTAAAAGCTGAATGAAAAAAACACGTCGTTGTAAACCACATACTCATACTGAATGAGTAAAACCAATGTGATAAGATCTGATTCATCAAACTAAAGATTATCCAGTCTCTTCTGAGAAGATAAAGATAAGAAATTTTTGCATGCAAATATACTGTAGACATTGATGAGTTTATATAGAGGCATAAGGTTTCCTGGAATCCTGCTACACAGTGAAATAACAGATCCAGTAAACACAAGGAAGACAGCTGCAGAGAGATGCTAGCAGGAGACTTTTGATCCCCTTTCATATTCTGACTCACACTAATGAGGCGGGCCGTTTCTTGAAGAATGATGTATGCGACAGCAAGATGGCTAAGGCTGTGATCTCTGGTTTTGTGGCAATATGACTGAAGTTCTTGTAGCCCTAAGAGAACTAGTTTTAAAGTGGCTAGCTTGGTACTGATAACAATGCAGCAGCAGACTTCAGCCTGAGCTACCTGCTGCATTTTTTATCGAAGGTCTAGAGGCTGAAGTCTGTCCTGGTGGCAGCTGTGTTTGACTCTGAGCTAGCGGATTTAAATCTGGCTTAGTCTTCGCTTGCTTCAGCAACAGCCACACCTGGGACTTGAAGCATAGATGTATCGCAGAAGTGCCAAATGAACTGGGAGCAAGATCTGGAATCTCTGCCTCTCCTTGTATCACTGGGTGCCAGTGATTATTAAATAGCTGGTATATAGCTAGGCCACACCTTTTTATTCTATGGCTTCCATATAATCCCTCCCCACAAATCCTACCAGATTTAGTCTTTCACGTTTTAGTGCCTCTTGGTCTAAATACCATTTCTATATTGTACGTTTTCCAAAACTCGAGTTACTTTAACTTAAAACCCAGCATTTAAAAAAAATAAATAAGGGAACTACACTTAAAATAGTCTTTCTCAAAAATGTGAACACTTGTACTTCCTGTGACCAGTAATACAGCTTTATCTTTTTACTGTCTGGAAACATTATCTTTGCTTGTGTTCTGCTCTATTTCAGAAACTCTGACAAGGGAGTGGAGGTTGCCTTCCTTGGAACACGGACTGGACTATCTCGTATCAACCTGTTTGTGGGTCCGGAACAGCTTACTAATCAGTAAGTAACAAAGCTATGCTTGGCAGCCATATGAAAAAGAAGAAAAAAACTGTTTATTTTTAGGAAGCCCATCTACTATTTCTTCCAGGGTTTTAGGCTAATGCTCTGAAATATGTAGAACAAGTTACATAGATTTTACAGCATCCCTTAGATTCTTTCTTCGACTTGAACATTTGGAACAATGAGCTATTTTGCACCTGAAGCCCATACATTTACTTTGCCCCCATTCCCTTGGAGTTAGCCTCGCATCTTTATTTTTCAGAGCAGAATTATGAATATGCTGCATCTGCAGATTATGATTTTTTTTTACCTATTTTTAGATAGGATGGTTATCTGTAGGCTTTTTCAGGGATTTTGCGTCATTGTGGAAAATTTTTTTGATGTTGAAATAACGCCAAGTGACAGAAGTTTACTGGGTGAAAGAGTGATCAGGAGATCTCATCATTCAAGAGTTTCCTATTTTGCTTGGAGAAGATGATGTCTAGTGGATGCACAAGTTTCTTAAAATGGAGAACTATAAAATAAGATCCCATATTTAATGACTTTTTCAGGCAGCAGTTTGATAGTGTCAGGCAAAACTATATGCATTATACATGTAAAAGAAAATCTGCTATTGATGTTTAGGATAAACTAAATTTATTGAATATAAAATTACATGGTGCTTATCTGACCACAAAATATTGTTGTAGTGTGAGTAGTCTGACAGGTGAAATCAATAGCCCTGCAATCTCTTACCGTCAGACCACAAACCAGAACAACAGCGTGGAGACCATGCTTTCTCTCTTCACCAGCGCAAACTTTTTTCTGTCAACATTCCCAGAGATTATTGAAGAATAAAGTATGTAGTTGTCCACTACCACCCCTTATATATTGTTTGGAAAGTAGACTGTTAAATTACTTTTTTTCATTACTAAAGAATGAATGCCAGTGGCAACAAACTACCGAATCTCTAGTGCCTTTTCCACTTTGTTCTTGCATGGTGCTGACAGAAAAAGGCTTTTTAGACTAAGCACTTTTATTTAAACACATCAGTACAAATGTTTTTAGTGATACTCAGAGGCACTATTGTTTTTTTTACTACTTTTTCCATTCTTCACACCAAAATTAATTGCAAGTGTGTCACAAATAATTATTAGGGGCTAAAGTTAACCCTTTTGTTGAATGAACAAATGGTATTAGAAAAATTGTCCAAAACAGTTTTCTTTCCCAGAAGATTGCATTTTGGTTTTTGTGTCTTTCAAAGCTAGAAACTATTGTGTGCCGTGCAACAAACAAGTGTTTTCTTTCTCTCTTCTTTCTTAAGAGATTTCCTGACAGCTGAAGATAAGGAGAACATTTTTAATGCTGACCATTTTCCACTCTGGTACAGAAGAGCTGCAGAGCAAATACCTGGGAGCTTTGTCTATTCAATCCCATTTAGTACAGGTCTATAATTTTGTCATTCTCTAAATGCTGAGCCATATATGATGCTGAAAGGATTCAAAGTATGTCAGTACTGAGTGGGCTCTGTAGCTAATCTCAAGTCTTAATCTAAAATATGCGTTGAAATGTGCAGCTAGTTTACCAATCCTTCAACCAGGTGCATCTTTTACAGGGCTCCAAGCGAAACCTCAGGATGTGATGTAACAGTTTTCATTTAATATTCGCACAAATTGAACTTACAGCCTAGTATTTTAAGCAAGACAAGTCCAACAGAGCAAGTGTTCACATTAATGAGAAGCCCTACCAGTTTTCACCTTTGTTGCCACTTTTCGCAGAGAAGGCAAAACTTGATTACTGATTTCAGTGTTTTAAGCTTTTTGTTGGGATGCTGAGGAACTTTGAAATGCCAGTGCCTGTATGTCCTGTGCATGCATAGAACATGATGTTGACTGTCTTGTTTTCTGAGCACTAAATCCACATGGACTGTTATTTCAAACCAGGGGGAAACATTCTGCAATTTGATTTTTATGCAATTTGATTTTTGTTTTCTTAATATACCCTGCAGAAACCGCGAACAAAAGCAACGTAGTGACAGCCAGCACTGCTATTCAACTTTTGGATGACAGAAAATCTCCAGTTGTTGCAGGTAAAATTGTTGTAGTTTTTGTTCATTTTTTAAAAGCAATGTCTGAGTTCCTCACTTTCTCTTTTGGGTTAGCAGGAATTTAATGTAGGAATATAATCTTTAAGAATAGAGGAGGAGGGAAAGATGCAGTTGCACATATAAGATACAATGGAGTGGCTCAGTTTAGAGAACACTTAATGCTTCCTTTCCCTAACAATTTGATCCTTTATTTAATTGACTATCCAAGCTCCCTACAAGCTATGGAGCTTGACTTAATGGAAATAACCATTATCAATGAAGTATTTTTAGTGGACACAATCTATATCATCATAAATGAGAATATATCGTGTTAAGGAAAAGAAAATATAAGAAAGGAGTGTCTGATGTGTAAATGTTCCACCCAGTCTGCAGGTTGGAAAATCTTATCCTATAAAAAATGATACAAAGTGATAATTTTGTCTAGATTATCAGAGATATGATTTGATCAGAGCATGTAAATTGAATAACAAAGCTCTACGGTCTATCAGCCAAGAGTATAAGAGTACCTAAAGACTAAAAGGTAAAGTGTGACAACTACAGATTAGAGATAAAACATTCAGATTTAAAAATGTACTTAATTTTTAAATTTTGAATGTTCCTCACTTAAGTTCAGATACTTTTCTGAAACAGTTTTCTCTAGTTCACAATCTTTGCTGACTTTGAAGAAGGAATTAATTTAGAGAAGTCTTATGGTTTGTTATGCAGAAACCAAGCTCTCTTATCTCAGAGAAAATTAGCTACCTACCACACAAAGCAAGAACCATGTTATTTTTCTCATATTTAAAATATGATTTAAAACGCAGTAAGATATAGTGAATACTGTCCAGAAAGAGCAGGAGTGTGACAGATAATTGGGAAATCTCTAATCTGTTTCCTCAAACACAGAATATCTCCACTGATAATAATAGATTTTGTAAGGTCAATAGGAAAGCACCCTTCTGACTCCAGTTTGTGTGAATACATTCTTCACAACTTTTTGAACTCTTCCATAATATAACAGGAAATCCTAATTATGACTTCATACTCCTGTTAAAGCATAAAACAGCATTTATAAGCTAACATCAATGCGGATATCTGCAGATTGCTAAAGATGTAATTAAGAATATTCACTGTACAATGAAGAAGGTTGACGTGTTATTTCTAGAGCGCTCCATCATTTGGCGTTAATAAAAGGCTCATCGTGCAGTTTACCATCACCTGTAAGATGTGTAGGGTTAACAAGCGTCCTTAAATTTATTCTTTCCTGACTAGTGTTTTGCAATTTAGTGTGGACTTGGAGGAGGTATCACATGTAACCAATGCTAATACTGTGTCAACAAGCTCTGGGTTCGTTTTTTTTGATAGTAATTATAAAAGAGAGATGCAGATGTTGCTTCCATTTCCCCAATAATTATGTTTAATATTGAACATTCAAAATTACTTGCGTCCCATGCTTTCTCTCTATAATAAAGACAGGGTCTTCAAAGCTCTTTAATACCAAAACATGTAAAAGATTTCCATTGTATCTGTAAATGAATGAAAAATATGAGCAGCGTATTTACATTCTGAAACACATCAGTGTTTTTCTACTTTTATTTCTATAAACTCTAGAAACTGTGGATAGATTTTTTTTTTTCAATATGAAGCATTTTTAAGAATTTGCTTTGAATAAACCTCTTGTATGGTTGCATGTGTTCATTTTTTTCTGGGGGAGGTGCGGGAGGCATCTTTGAATCTGTACAAACCATTTTCTGTGAAAGTATCACTCAGCCACTACGCCCGTTCAGACACAAACAAGTGTATGCATTATTCTTGTCCTCTTTAAGTTGGAGATTATAAATGCAACTTGTCAGTCCTACTTTTTCCATCAGAAAACTTTCACCAAAGTACCCACCATCTAGTTCAGTTTTTAAGTTTTATTATGAGGTTGATGATATTCTAAGCAAAATGGATTTGGAGGGAGAAACTGGAGCAGTAGTAAATTGGAGAAGTTTGAAGTTTTTATTAGCCAGACTTGGGAGACTAAAGTAGGATTATAGGTAACATTTTCAAATACCTACATCGAAGTTCAAATTTGGCCAAAACATCTCATTTTAATTTGTGTGAAGTAAGTATTCCTTATTCCTATTTGGTCTGAGTGGGTTACAGAAAGCAGCAGGATGGGATACACATTTCATATAAAATCACTGTGTTCCCTAGAGGAATTTGACTGAAAATAAAGCTTTGCCAGAATGTTGTTTATTACACATCACTACAAGAGTTTTAAACTGGCAGAGAGAAACTAGAACAGTATTATAAAATAGAAACCTGAGTTAGACCTGCCCACAAGGGGGAAAAAAGTAGCAAAACCAACTCTTACTACAAAATTTATAGGCTCTTCTATTTTCTTTGTAATTTTTTTTTTTATTCTGTTTCTGTAGAAAAACATCAGTTATAACAGACTTCATATGCAAATTGATGCTAAGGCTTGTTGCAAATAGGGAAGAGTCAACTCTTTAATACAGGCAGCAAATCCTAAAATCAATGAGTCCCCAGACTTAGTACGGAGCACTTGAGTGTCACTGGTGCTGTTTCACCATCTGTACCTACTAATACCCGTTCACTGTCAGAATGTGTTTGCTTAATTGCAAAAAAAATGGTGTAATTTGTTTTTAAAATCCCTCCTGCCTCTTTCAATTAAGATTGTGATTTTTTTTTTCTTTACTTAAATGATTACAAATTTCTAGAGAAACTGTGGAATAAGGAGATAAGTCTTTAATACGTAAGTGCAGTAGCATCATATTTATTACTGTTTATGTGAAGTTCAATTTATTTGCGTGAGAGAAAGGGACAATAGTACTGAATGCAGAGTTTTTTAGATTTTAATACATCTATGCTCAAAATTGCCTTGTCTTAGTATCCCTATTACCGTGTCTCCTATATCAAGTTTACATTAAAATGTTAAGTTTCTTCAAACTGACTGTACTACCATGTGAAGGAGAATAAAAGATAGTGAGATTTAATTTTTATTCTTCTCAACATGATCTAAAAATTGTAGAATCACCTTAGTCTTGAAATTCCATGAGATCCATATAAGACTGGTATTCTTTTCAGTGACTAAGACAAAGTCAGTCAGTATAGGATGTCTGAATTAGGGTAGTAGTCTAGCTTTTAAAAATGAGGCAAATTAAGACTGAATTGGCTTTTCTGATGCTCATGTGAAAGGCAGTACATTTCATGCTAACTGTTGATAGAACTCAGCATTACAGTCTTGTAACCTTTGATATTGCATGATGAGTGAACTCATTCCAGGTCCTTTATCTGAATCTCTACTTTCAAGTAGTAAGTATATGGCCTTCTGGATAAGTGCAGCATAGGACTTCTATATGTTATGTACATATTTCTTTTTATTTCCAATTTTTTAGGGGAAGGTGATGGTTTCATCATTATTATTTTGTTTAAAATAAACTTTTAAAGATACTACTCACCTACACAGTTCTGAGCAAGAGATGGGGACAGAAGAGAGCAAAGAAAAGTCATCATGGAGTAAAGAAATCTTTAAAAAATTAAAAATACTTCTCTCTTGAGATTTTGAGAAAGTGCATGAACCTTCATATATGTACTTCTCTATAGGTCCATTTTAGCTCAAAAGCCACAGTACAATATAGAATCTTAAAAGCCCTTTGTGTTGAAAGAGATCATCGCTGTTCATGGAAAACACAGAAAATTAACCCCTTGGGATGTTTAATTAAAGATAACAGACCTAACGTAATCTTTTCAGGGTAAGAATTTGTTAAAGAACACTGCAGAACATGTCTAATGAAAATCGTCTAGATCTCTTAACTTTTCTTCATAGAACAAGCAGAACCTGGACTTTCAAGCCTCACTGAGCAACCTGGTCTAGTGGAAGGTGTCCCTGCCACTGTCAGGGGGTTGGAACTAGATGATCTTTAAGGTCTTTTTCAACTCAAACCATTCTCTGATTCTGTGACTGAAAAAGTCCATAGCAGTGCTTAGCAAAAAGCTCTGGACACCTAGTAAGAAGAATAAAGGATTAAATCATACACAGGCACAGTCCTTAGTCTCATAGTCATTTGAAATTTAGAGTTTGAAGGACATGAGGAGAAACAGTCTATTTTTCTATACAAGGCTGCTTAAAAATTCTGAAATTAAGTACAGATTTTCCTTAATTTTTCGTGCATATTTTTTGTGCAGACTAGTTATATACATGAATGGTTAAGTTTGAAATTGACCCTTCATTATTGTCGTCATCATCATCATCTAGTCCAATCACAGTGGACTAGATCTTGAGCAGAATCTTGAGCTAGGGCAGGTTGCCCAGAACTGTGTTCAGTCAGGTCTTGAATGTCTTCACAGATGGAGAGGCTGCACTCTCTCTGGGAAACCTCTTCCAGGGTTTGACCCACTTCACAACAACAAAAAAAAAAAAGTATTTTCTCTTTTTTCTGAAACCAGGACCATGATGCAAAGAGGTATGCCAATATGTCGCAGAAAGACCATAAATGTGCCTCCATTTCTAGTATTGCAGGACATGGAACAGCAGTATGATAGTGTGAACGTGAGTCATCTTAAAGATTAATAAGGTTACTGAGTGTCTGTATATCCCAGTCTTTTCATTTTAACAAATGGCTATGCTGTTTGTTGCAAAGGACCTAACTATATAGATTTGAAAAAGAGATGAAACCTAGTTTCAATGTCATCAGCATGTTCTTTCTATGACGGAAAGGTTACAGTAGAAAATAGTTTAAAATTATTAGATATAATGACTAGATGGGAAAAACAGGTGGTTTTTTATTACTGTTACCACCTAATGATAAAAATGTAGATTTGCAAAGATGATTTTTTTCTATTCTACCAAAGTACGAGAAAGAAATATCTAAAGTGGTTTTATATTTTTTTTCTACCAAAATATTTTATATATGATCGATTTTACATTGGACTTGTTATTTATCAAAGTTGAAATTAGGACATAGAACACACTAAATGAGTCCTCTCTACACACA